GTAAGTGTCTGGCTAGAATATGGAAAGGATTCTACAGAGACAGACCTTTCTCTGAAAAAATCCATTGACAAAAAACTTTACCTCGCAGAACACGGGAGTTGCTGGCCTACTGCTGCCTTGATAAGGTAGTTTGTCTGTCTTATCGTGTGATTTGGTGAGTTCTGACTAACATGTTAAAACACATCAACTAATTGATATACTCTGATGATTAGTATGTAGTGCATACTTTAGAATAAGTATGAATTCAGGACACAAATAATCTTGTGACTCAAGACACAGCTATTGTAGCCAGCTTTCGTTTAGGTTAATTTTACCTACCTGTTTCCTATTCTATCTGTTTGCACACATTGTAAGAACTAGATTTTCATGACATAAATTTTTTATACAGCAGCAAATTACTATGAATAATTGCTCATCCCTGAGAAAGTTGCTGTTTCATCAGTTGTTGTTGTGTTATCAGTAAAAAGAGTGAAAAGAGACTGAAAGCGCCATGGTGGGGATGTGTCAATCCAGGGAGCAAATGGTGCAGTGGAGTTTCCTGGCGAATTGCACGCAGTGGTACAAGACAACGCTGGTGGCAAAACTTGCATAGATAACAATGATGCAGGTGTTTTGATCCAGTCAGACACCACCAGTGTGTGTTGCTAACAATACATTAAATCATTTTGCAAATAGCTTGAATTTTGTTATTAATACATAACCAATGAAGTAACTCCGCAAAACCAACCTCTGTTTATATATTCACTCATCAATGTGTTAGCCGCCTTGTTATGTGTTATATTCCTTCTATTCCATGTTGTCTGCTTCCCTTGTTTTATGATGTTTGTTTTATGCCCGTAGGTTTCTCCAAGTCACGTGGTGCTAAACCTTTTTTTTTGCAAGCGTTGAGTGGAAAACTGTGACCTAACCTGGCTTGACTTAATGGAAAACCACACTCGTGTTTCGTTGGCCCTTACCCCTGTTGGGTTTTCTCATTTCTGTGCTGGTGTATTCTTCAGACAGCAGGTTTGCAGCAGTGCTTAGCTTGAAGGATGCTTGTGTATGGTTTGTCTGGTTTAATACAATGTAAGCTCTCCTGTCTCACCATTGTCAAGGAGTCTTAGGAGTGCTTCTTATCCAAATGCTACACCACTGAGCTGATTAGGGAGGAAGTCTGTACGTGTGTGTGTGTGTGTGTGTATTTGTATGTTTGTGTGAATATGTGTGTGTTTGTCTATCTGCTTTTACATCATGTTAGCTTAGCGTGTGTGCGTGTTTGTGTGTGAAAAGCCTCATTCCTGTAACAACTGCAAGCCCTGTGCCTCATTGAGCTTGTGTGTAAGAGTGTGTGTGTGTGTGTGTGTGTCTTTTGAGGCTCCTCAAAAGCTGCCTTTTTCTCTCTCATGTGGCTTCTCTGGTATGTTTGGTATTTCACAAAGCCTCAGATCCTCCTCTCCTCAAAAGGGGGGAGGTGTGTGTGTGT